AGAATTGAGATTGTTACCATTTAAATCTTCTCAAACAGGAACATAGTATGTATTTCTATACATTTAGGTCTTCCATTACGTCTTTAAATAATGTCTTTCTTAAAGGCTTTGCACATTTAAAAATTAGACTTATTATATGACAACTTACACTTTTGTTCTTATTACAAGTGGCAGTTTTTCTTATTTTCTGATTATTACTGGGTGAACAGGGAGGCAACTCTCATATTTCTTCTAATGGTTTGTTTCTGAATGCTCTTGAATTTTCTGTGAAGAAAGTGATATAAAAATATAATGTACAAATAGGAACAATTTTGACCCTTTCATTCCAGTTTTTTTTTCCCCCTATTTTCTTGGGCTATTGCATTAGTAAGACCATAAATACAATAATAAATAATATTAAATAACAAAGGTGATAATAAGAATCTTTTTCTTATTTCTAGCTTTGATAAAAATGGCTTCTAAAATTTTACCATTAAGAATAGTGTTTGCTGTAGGTTTTTTGTTTTTTTTTTTAATTGAAGTATAGTTGAGTTACAATGTTGTCTTAGTTTCTGGTGTACAGATTAGTGATTCAGTTATACATACTCTTTTTCATATTTTTATTATAGGTTATTACAAGCTATTGAGTATAGTTCCCTGTGCTTGCTGTAGGTTTTTGACAGATCAGTTTTTATCAGGTTACATAATTATTTTTTATTCTTAAATTGTTAAAACCTCTTGCCATTAATGCAGATTATTTTATGGAATTCTTTTCTGCATCTACTGAATTATTGTCATTGCTTAATGTGGTGTATTACAATAGTAAATTTCCTAATATTGAAGCATTCCTAAATTCTGGTGTGATAAAGATGAATTAATAAATGATTTATGCCAATGCTTTAAAGCTCATAGAAAACTTCATTCAGCATAACAACTTTGGCAAAAACCACTTTGATTTAGTGGACAGATTAAAGTAACATTGCTTTTCATGAAATATTAATGTATGTATTGGTCAGCACTGTCAGAAATTTTTAATGGAGTTTTATTTATTTTGATGACATACCATAACTATAACAAGTTGAAGTTCAATATTTCAACAACTAAGCTAACTAATCTATAATTATCAGCCTATTTTTCTCCTGATTAATTAATAAGCTAAAATCTCTAAAAATTTTTCCTTTCTGAAGTAGATTTAATGTGCTGCTGCGATTTTGCTTAGCAAACCTTTCCGTCTTAAATTATATAGTGGTAAATTTCAGCCCAACTCCAATTTGAGTCAAATATCCCATGACCCAAGTTATTAGAGTTTGACAGGATACAGCTTTATTGTCTGCTTGCTGTTTTGAGGAGAGGAGTGGAAGAAACCCCTAATTCTGAACTAAATTGCTTAGAGCATTTATTTGGTGGGAGATTTGTATTGTTGGAGGTTTATTCTTGACAAATCGTTCTCTTTCCAGTGTCATCTTGCCATGGGTGCCACAGCTTTGAGATAATGAGATAGAAAAATCCTTTATTTATTGAGCTAGCCAGTAGCTGACAAATTTTTATTGTCTCACATGTCACTGAGATTTCTTTGAGATGCCATATTGAATATGCTCCAGCATTCCAATGTGTATGAAAGATTTTCTCTCTAGAGCATGGACAAAAATCTTCTAAGAGCTCTGGGTCAATTCTTCTTTAATATGTAGTAGAGTGTGGATTGCTCCCTGACTCTGGGCATGTCCCTTTCTTTAGGTCTAGCTTAGATTGCCAATTTAAATGTTTTGCTTAACCTCCCTGTGATGGTCCCTTGTCATTTTGCATTGGGAAATCAACATCTACAAATGTTTATTCTGTGGTTAAAAGTGGTGCAAGACATCATGGTTCAGATAAGAACATTTTTCTCCCCTCTCCAAACACTGCTTTCCCTCTTCTTTTACTTTCTGTTCTCCTGCCTATTTTTAATTCCTTTCCCCCTCACCCTTAACTGTACCTTGAATTTGTCAAAGGAATGAAAGATAATGTTTTGTCCTAATGAACGTTTAAAGGCGTATTATGACTAACCTTTCCATACATGAAGAAAAGTTAAGCAGTTCTGTTTTATAGTGAGTGACACATCCTCTTTCAAGTGTCAGGCCTAATTTGACATTGACCAACATGTAATTTACGTTTTACATTTTCCCAAATCTTACATTTTGGTAAAATTCCAAATTAAAATATATATTATTAAAGTTTGGAATGGGGTCAGTCTTCCCAAACATTGCAGGACTAAAAAGAGTATCTTCATATACACCACTGCATAAGAGAAATATTATCTGACAACTTATGGATACCTCACCCACACATGACATATTAATACATAGACTACTGATGTCAGTCCATACTGTGCCAAATATAGCATCATTCCTTCTCCCTCCTAAATTGCATCCAAAGCAATTCTTATCTATATTTTATTCATTGACTAAAAGGTAAACATGCAGAAATTAAGTCTAAAAATTTAATTATTATCAGCAAATTCTTTAGCACTGACTACTATAGCATATGTAGTACAATTAAAATAGACCCAATTAATCATATTAGCTCTGCTATTTCCAAATCTGTGGCATGACCCTGAGGCTATTTGTAAACTATCTGCTAACTTACCTAAAAGACATCAGGCAGTTTGTATTAACATGCAATCACCCAGGACTTCAGTATTGACTGTCCAAACCTGACTGCACCTGGGTGTGTTTTCTTACCTTAGGGAGAAAATAGGAGATGGGAAAAGCAGATGGTCTGTGTGTTCTGATGAATGCAACTGTAATGTGACTGATTTAATGGGGCTGGTTAGGCTTCTCTTTGCTGTCAGTGTAGAAGAGTGAAAAGATGTTAACAGAAAAGCACACGTATATTGGGAGCTTACTGGGTTCTAGGCCTGAATTCCTTCTAAAATGGGAAATCTAACATGGCATAGATGCTGTTATCTAGATGAGACCAGGCTTTAAAGAAGTGAAACACCTGGCTCCAGACTGCATGCTGGGAAAACCAGGAGTAACCTCCCAGCCAGTTGACTCCAAAGCCTTTGTGCTTCATCACTGATCTATAATTGGTGAAAACTTGGAGAATAGCTTTGATGTGTTATTTTAGGGAAGGTAGTTGTGTAGTTTGAGAAGGAGGACTGTTCCTTATACTTGAAACAGCTGGAGCAAAGTAAATGAAAACATTGGGTTAATTTCCTCTTAAATGAGTGAATGCATGTTTACTACCCAGAAGAGTGCCTGATACATAGTAGCACTCAATGCATGTGAGCTGTGGTACAGTCAGGACTGCAGGTAACAAAACCTGGAAACAATGAGTTAAAAGAGAATCTTATCTCAGAAGATAGAAGTCAGGAGATAGGCAGACCTGGCCTGCCAGAGGGGCTCAAGTTAAAGATGGGGCTCCTTTGGCTTGCTGGGTCATCATTCTTAGTAGTCACTGCTACTCTCCACTCATTGCATGCACCTTGCAGGCAGGAAAAGGACAAAAAGGGAAAAGGAAAACCTTCATCTCCTGAGGTTTTTACCTTTTTATTTGGTGACTCCCTCTAGTGTTTCCACCTACCTCTCATTGATGCCCAGTAGGCTGGAGAAAAATATTTCAATGCCTCAAGTTCTTTTACTGTGTCAACTTCTCTGCCCCCTTTCTCTTCTCTCTGTTGCCCCAGTTCCCATCTCACTCCAGGCACTAATCATTCTCACCTGGACGTCCTCTCCCAGCAAGAACCTGCTGCTTGTTTTCCCTCCTTTAAGACTATCAAATTCAATTCCTATTTACTTAAGGCAATATCCAAACTCCTTAGGTTAATATTCATGGCCCTCTGGAGTCTAACTCCTTCCCGGCCATCCACATTTTCCTCCCACTGCTCCCCTGCACAAATCATGGCATCCAGTCAAATTCAGCTTCTCATTGTTCCGTAGAAGAAATTGTGCTCCCCTGTCACCATGTTCAGTTCAATTTAACTTTCTTGATATCCCAAACTTCTGTTCATTAAAAGAGAACATTAGGAAAGTTAAGCATCCCACAGAAAGGTACCAAATATTATTTTCAAGACAAAAAAAAAATCCAATCAAGGACTGGTATCCAAAATAAAGAACTATCAATTACTAAGAAAAAGTAAGATAGCTATGGATCTCTGGTTCCCAGTCTGAAATTCCCTAACAGGTTGGTGGAGCTCAGTGGACTGGGACCATTAGTATTCATGATTACGTCTTGTTTCTGGAAAGATTTGTTCCTGCAAAGTCTACCTAATGAAAACTAGCTACTGAACAATTGCTATTACTTTAAAAAGAACGCTTTTCTTCTAATACAGGAAAAGTTTATTACAGCCAGGGAGGATTGATGCGGTAAGTCCACAGGTATCAGAGCTCGAGAATTCTAAGGTATGTTAAGAGGCAGAAGGAAACTTCTCGCAGGTAGACTTCTGGTCTGCTCCTCCAACACTCCACGTCACGTGGAAAGGGAAGCGTGAAGTTCCATTCCCGCGGTGGGAGAGCAGAGAAGGAGCGTGCGGACCGCGCCGCCTCCAGGCCCCGCCCCCCCGTGCCCCCGCCCACAGATAGTCCGGGTCCCGCGGCCTCCTGGATAGCGGAGGCCGGGGGGCGGGGCTCACCCTTGCCCCCGGGGTCTCTCGGGCTCCGCCAATCAGCGAGCGCCCTGTTGGCCGTCCGCAACGCCCGCCCCCTCCCCCTCCCGCTGGCCTCCGCTTTCCAGAATCCAAGATGGCGGGATCCAGGCGAAGGGGTCCT